ATCTACAGAGTATTCCACCCCACAACAACAGAATATACATTTTTCTCAGCAGTACATGGGACTTTCTCGAAAACAGACTACATATTAACTCATAGAATATGCTTACATAAATATATGGTGAATTGAAATTATCCCATGCATATTATCAGATCACAGGTCAGTAACACTGGAAATCAATGACAAGAAAAAAACCCACAAAAACTGCCTCAGTACATGGAAATTATATAATACCATGGGAGAACAAACAAACTGACGATCATTAGAACAGGTGAGAAGACACAGAAACAACTCCAAACACATTCAGCCACCTCTGATATAGAAGCCAACACCTCCACCATTCTTTAATGAATGGTGCCGGGAAACTGGTTTTCCACATGGCAAAGATTAAGCCTACACCCATATCACCATGCACTTAACTAAAATAGAAATGGATCAAAGTTCTAAATATGAGAAGCACTACTGTTGAAGACATACTTGTAGGCAAAGACTTTATGACAAAAGTCAAATTGCGCAGGAAGTTTTACAAAGACTCAACAACTGGGATCACATATAAAAAAGCTTTTGCTCAGCAAAAGAAACTATCAATAGAATGAAAAGACCCCCCACCTGTAAGAAAAATTCTGCCAACTGCCTAGAATATACAAAGAACTCACAAAAATCAGACCACCTAAACTTAAAGACCCAATCCAAATATGGGCACCTGAAATGAACACACATTTCTCAGACAAAGATGGAAAAACAGCAAATAAATACACAAAAATAAGTTCAATATCTCTGGTCATTAAAGAAATGCAGATCAAAACAACACTGACATGCCACCTCACTCCAGAAAGAATAGCTACTATTAAGAAAGCAACCAATAACAAATATTGGTGAGGCTGTAGTGAAAAAAGAACCCTTTTCCATTGTTGGTGGAAGTGTGGACTGGTAAAACCACTGTGGAAATCAGTGTGAAGATTCCTCAAAAAACTAAAAGAAGAGGTTCCATTTGACCCAACTATTCCCCTTCTTGGTATACGTATTCCTGAGTGAGTTAAGCATCATACCACAATGATGTATAAATACCCATGTTTACAGCAGCACAAATTTATTAATAGCTAAATCTGGAAAACAGCATAGAAGCCTATCAACAGATGAATGGACAAAATAATGCGGTTTTTATATATAACTACTTTGACATAAACATAAACTTGAGATTGTTTTAGGTAAATGGATGCACCTGGAGACCATACTTTTAGGTGAAATGAGACATCCACGTTTACATATTGTAATGTTTCTCTATATGAGAAACTAAACGTGTAAATAAGGACCAAAATGGATAAGAGACAGTGGGGAGCAGGAAAATGCTCCAATGGGAAGAGGAACAAGCAAGGGAGCAAGAGGAAAAGAAGGAAAGGAAATGAAACAATAAGAATATAACAGAAATAGAGCTTTTGTATGTAAGGAGAGAAAGAAGGGTTGAAGGGAGGAAAGGAAAAATTAGGGGAAAAAAGAAGAATTAAGACCTATTATGTACAGGTATAAATTCTCTACAATGAATGTGAACATTCTGCATGCTGGCCCCGCCCCTAGGACTGAGATGGCAATTGAGCCTGGGTGTGGTGGCACACACCCGTAATCCTAACTCTTGGGAGGCTGTAAACAGGTGGATCACTAGGAGTCTGATCTACTAGTGAGACCCTGAACACCCTGCAGACCTCGCCCTAAAATTAAAAAATTTTTAAAAATGTGAACATTATCCATACCAAAAAATGTACCAATAAAATAATTTTTAAGCATGGCATTATTGCTTAGAGGGTGTAAGAGCCGATGATCCCACAGGGCCCTTTAAAGAAGCACCCATAACCCTTTAAGAGTCACTGTAGGAGCATCACCATGGAGTTGCAATCTTCCATATGACACAGACTTCCAGCATTTCACTGTTGTTAAAACCCTACTTAGTATGACCTGTTAGACCATAACCTGTAAGTTTAAAGGAGATTCTCCTTCTAAACATCCTATCAAGAAGAGTAGCTACAGAGTACGAGTTTTATAAAGTTTCTCCTTCAGCTCAAGAAAGTCATATAATTATTAAGAATATTCTATAACTAAAATGTTTTTCTTATTAAAACAGCAAGTGATTTCTAGACATAACTGGAAAAATACTTCAGGAATAATGGGTATAAGCATAGTATAGGTCATTAAGCTGAGAAAGTTATTATTCTGTGGTTAAAATCTCTTAAATATAATGGGGGAACTTCAAAAGTAGAAGCCGCTTTTATGTATTTTGTACTAAACCCATCACTAAAATATGTGACAGACCTGTTTTGCACAACAAAATAATCTACCAGTACACTTAGTAGTAGAAAATGCCTTCATCTGTATCAAAGTTACTTGGAGGCAAAAAAGGAACTTAAAAGATTTGGTTTACTGTGACACTAGGAAGCAAAGGCAAGTCAAGAGAAAAGAGGAAGCGGCCTCACCTGTGCCGTTGAATGTTGTGTTTTTATTTGTGTACAGTCTGATCATATGTCCGATTGTTTTCACATTTTCTCTCAGCATTATACCTCGAGCTTGTACCATAAAGAGATACGTGTTGGCTAGAAAAGAGAAAAAAGAGAACATCATTATAGCATTGTAAGTTTTTCTTATTTAGTCAAAATTCAGAATTAGTGAAATACATAAAAAACTGATTCAATTATGCTGACGGGGAAAAGAAAAACTAGTTCCTACTTTAAAAATTCACAAAAACAAATTTATTTTTAAAATAATAAAAATGAAAACAATTAAAACTGCAATATCCACCTATCAACAGAATGAGCCTAAAATGAGCAAACCAAAATGTCACAATGAATCCTTTACCCACAAATCATTTTTCTATTATAAAACAAATGCACTTAGTCACTTCAAAAGATATTTTACCTCAAGTACTCAACTTCACATGGGTAGGGCTTCCTTATTTAACAGCAGATATACCACAAATCACCATCATCTGGTATGGACACAGATCTTTTAACTCACTCCGCAAACTCAGCTTGGTCATTTCTCTTACAGTGCTCATTACCTGAACTTTTATCCTCTATCCATCACCAGTCTAGCTACCAGGATGGCAAAAATAGGCAACATCAAAAAAATCAATATGCAGGGCTGGCCAGGTAGCTCAGCAGACTGAAGAGCCTGCTTCGGCAGAGCACAGCAGCCGGCGTTTGATACCTGGCCTGCCGTGCCAGCTCTTCCCATAGGGCGTGCTGAGATGGCAATTGAGACTGGGCATGGTGGCGCACACCTGTAAACCCAGCCTTTGGGAGGCTGAAAACAGGAGAATCACTACAAGTCCTATCTGTGTAATGAGATCCTGTAGACCCTATACTAAATACCAAAAAAAAAAAGTGCATTTTAAGGTTGATCAATTTAATTCTTTGTGCTACACACTTCAAAAGCAGGCTGCTGCTTTCTTCCTGTGACAGAAACTGGTCAAGAGACAGAGACTACCGAAGTCCCAGGGGCTCTGCACCAAGTCTCTGCAGGAGTATAGGGGACTGGTGTCCAAGGCTGGGTCTCCAGCCTGCCCGGCAAGAGCAGCACATGGATGGGGACAGCCTGCTGGGTTTCTGGTTCCGGCTTTGAAAAGGCAGCAGGGCACCAGGTGTTCTGTAAAGCCCCGGCCCCTGGGAACTCTAATTGCAAAGCCAGCAAATCACGGGGCAGAAGCGCCTTCTCTCGGCAAAGCCAAAACGGCAAGCTCAGCCCACCCCGACACTGTTAGGAGCAGCTGCCCCTGAATACAACAATGACGCTCAAAAGTAAGTGCTGAGCAAAAGACCAAGAACCACAACTGACTTTCTGGGCCCTGTTCTAAATCCTCAAGATGGCACAGAGGCAAGCGAAATATTTCTATTTACCACCTCTTTCCCCATTTCTTTTGTATGTCTGAACTGGATCAAAGTACATATGAGCACAGAGTGAATAAAACAGTATGGTGGCAGAAAATTCTTTTCTTTTACCCTCAATGAGTAAAAGAGAAACTTAAAAAAATAATAAAATAAATTTTACCTAAGCTCTACTGCAATTATTTTTGAGGCTGTGACTACATACTTTCTAGAAAGCAATTCTACAATTACACCTGACTTGTTCAGGCTTGAATTTATTATACTGGGTTATCACACCACAAGATCTATTTCGACACTTAAGCGGACTTTAAAAGAATGAAAAGAGACAAAGAGAAAAAGAAAACTAAGACATAGCCAAAACGATAGAAAATGTTTGCTAAAAGTCAAACTAATATTCACAATTCTACCTAAACTAAGATCTAAAGTTCAACAGAAATAAGGGAGGAGAGACATCAAATAGATTAGTAATGCCAATGGCTGACAGTACCTTGGATATTTTTGATCCAAAAGTTATATACAAAATTTGTTAACTATAATATAAATATTATAATATTTATTCTATACCAGACTACTCAAAGGCCTACCATAGAGCAGAACTGCCAGATTTAAAAAAAAAGAAAAGACTTCCAAAAATGATACCAGCCAAAGGAGATGTTAGGTAAGAGCAGATGTATAAAATTCTATGTCTTAGAAATACAATTTTTAAGCAATATAAAGCTTAAGGTTAGTGGTCACAAACTGTTAAGTTACTGATATTACCTGTAACACTAGCGCAAATAATTTACCAAAAGAGTTTATTTACTATTCATTAGATGAAAAAATGAAAGAAAAGTTATAGAGACCAAGCTCTCTAAATGAGAAATCTATTAGTTCATTTAAAACCACTTACAGCTAACTGAGTTACACTTCTTAGGTTAATAGTCCTCATGGACTTAATCCCTAAGGATGAAAACCCATTCTGGAATGAGACTGAGTTGAGCTACATAGTAATTATGAGTAGGAAGGATGTATTGAAATGCTGAAAGAAACAAAAGAATGGCTCTGATTTTCTGTTTTCCAAATATCACACCATAGTCAACTAAACGTTTGCTAGACAGCATTACAATGTAATATCTTATTAGTAAAACTTCAAAAAGTCCTTGTCCAAAATTTCTATTGTAGCTTACAAGAAACTATTAAATAGAAGCTCTTTCTTAGTTTTGCCCTTGGAGTTTGAGGCCATTCAGAAATATACTAAAAACACCACTACTTAATTAAAACCACACTGTATGTTATTTTATTTAGCTGATTTTCTATTTGCCTCTGCATGAAACACAAATACAACTTACTTGGCAGTTATGCTTTCAGGTGGGTGGGACCTACAACATGGGGAGGAGGTTCTCCAAACATCAATAGTTCATAAAATTTTCTAGGTGCCTTACCAGCATTTGTTAGGAGATTTAAGAACTTGCTCATCCTCCATTAAAGAAAATAAGGAAGTGCATCTTCTATAAATCTGTCCCCTTTCCAATATCCAGCTGTGGTCACTGCGCACACTGCTGAGGGTGCAAGATGAGGAGGAGGTGTCACTCTGCAGGGACTTAGAAATGCTTCCTGGACTTGGAAGGACTCCAACCCAACAACCCTCCTCTGCTGAGATGTGACATACTGCCACAACTTCCAGTCTTTTTACAAAAGAAACGTGCAGTGAAGAGAGCTGCTTCTGCGGGGAGATTACGTTGGTTCAGCAACCTGGCACGCACTTACATTAAATGCAGGCGCAGAGCGCGGCAAGAAGGGCTAGAAGTCACAACAGTGGAAAACATTAATATAAAAGTAAAAGCTAGAACTAGAGTGGGGAATTAGGAAAATTTTAAGCAGACAAGAAGGTACAAACCCACAGAACACCACCACAACTAGGCAAAAAATTGTTTCCAGAATGAATCAGTCTCAGCTTGAATCCAGAGAAGCTAATGGACTAAAGAAGGAGAGGCCAAGTAAGTCTAAATGCTGCAAAGTCCAAAGAGATAAACTTAAAAATAATAGTCTAAAACTTTTACTAAAGCCAGGCATGATGGCACACCCGTGTAACAGGATTTGGGAGGCTGAGGCAGGAAGATCACCATGAATTTGAGGCCAACCTGTACTACATAGACTGTGTCTCAAAAAAAACCAAAAAAATAATAATAATTCTAATACACAAAATAGCCTTTTCCCCAAACAATCCTATATGGCAAGTTCTTCTCTTAGCTGCTCCCTTGTCACTATGACATAATACCTGACATCCACAACTTAGAGGAAAGGGTTATTTTGGCCCACAGTTTGTAGAGGTTCCAGTCCACACTGAGCTGGCTCCAAGGCAGGACTGTACGGCAGAGAAGAATTGTTCCTGGCACGGCAGGTAGCAAGACAGACAAGGAGAGAGAGGGACAGGAAAAAGGACAGAGAGAGGGGAGGAGGGAGTCAGAACAGGAGAGAAGAGGGAAAAGCACACACAAGTGCAAAAGCAAGTGACCAGGTGATGAAGAAGGGCGACAGTCCCCTCCAGGCCATGCCCAAGTGACCCACCTCCTCCAACCAGGTTTCATCACCCAAGTCTCTTGTGATGTTTACCTATAAACTCATCAGTGGGCTAATCCATTGATGAGTACCACACCCTCAGAATCCAATCACCTCCCAAATGCCCCTATGAGTGCATCAGAGGCAATCCAAGCCATAGAAGTACTAATATGATTCCTTGTAGACAGAAATAATTACTTGTCCAATGCCACACAGTTATTAGCAAGTGGTAGCGCAGGCTGGCTACAGTGAGCTATCAGCATAATTATACCACTTACCCTCCAAGAAACCAGTTTGTTTGGGAAATAAAAGAAAAAGACTTCAAGAGACAGTGATAACAGGCATGGTGGTGCACAACTGTAATCCCGGCATTCAGGAGGCCAAGCTGTGAGTCCAAGGCCAGCCTGAAATACACAGTGAAACCCTATCTCAAAAAGACAAAAAAGAGAAAGTGAGAAGATAGTGACAAAATTAAAATATTCAAGTTTCAGGAAAAAAAAAAGTCACAAACAGTAAAATCCAGAAAAGGTTCTCTGGAAGAGAATGACTGCCTGTGACTACAGTCTGAATGCAAAAAGCCAGCACAAAGAGTAAACAGGGTGAAGGAGGAGGCTCTGAGGTGCACAGGGGCAGAGCTTGCCCAGGGATGACCACCCCATTTGAGGAGGGCTGGCTAGTAATGGAAGATGAGCAAAGAGGTACCAGGGAATGGGTAGTTTGAAAAACAGAAAGGAAAGTAAAAGAACTAAAGGCCACTGTGGGGATGAGATGTAACACAAAAGGTGAGAAGCCACGACATATGGATATTAAGAAGGCTGTGGTCTAAGGAGGGGCAGGAAGGACAGACCACAGCTGCAGATAGGACCCAGAAGGCAGAAGGAAGGCACAAACCACACTTCCTGTTGGTCACTGAGGGGGACAGCAATGGGAGACAAAGCGAAGTGGAACACACTGAACCATGTAAGAACTGCAGGACCTGCCAGGGATTCAGGGCACTGATTAGGTAGTGATGCCAAAAAAAAAAAGAGGACTAATCCAACCATCACACGCCCTTAATGTCAGCCCCCCAAGCCCTACAAATCAATCACATGCTTTAGATTCAGCCACTTCTAAAAAGATCCTATGACCCCATGAGGTTTGGAGGGCCATTTAGACACAACCACAACACAGAC